ATGCTTTATTTTATGCTGTTGAAGAGAATAATTAAGTCAAGGAGTAATTAAAAAAAAAAAAAAAAAAGCAAACTCAGAAAACTGCATGCAGTTGCATAAGACAGAGTGAAAGAACCAATTTTATTTTGTGGTGGTGCTTTTAAATAAACTTAAAGCACTTTAATTTACAATATTGATTATCAAGGTAAACAATAAAGACACTAGGAAGAATAAACATATGAAGTTCCCCAGCAAGTTTCTTTTGGGCTTTCTTCATTGAGAGAAAAAATAATCAACAGTATGCAGTTATTACATATGCAAGAAAATTCAATTGCAAACATGGGAAGTTTAGCTCAAGAAAAAAATATGCAGAAATGTTTTAAAAGCTTCCTGGATTTCGTGTAATAATATAACTTTCACCCATGCAGATGTTGCAAAAGGATTGTGAGCTTTGAACTGTTAAAAGTCACGGAAAAAACAAAAGACATAAAAAAAAAAAAAAAAAAAAAAAAAAAAAAAAAAAAAAAAAAAATTCCCCCTCTTTCCCAAATGAGACTAAGTCAGTGCTGCAAAGAACTTGCCAATAACATTAGTTGTCAGTTAATATCTGAAACTTTACAAAATAGCAGTTATTTTCTCTAAACTGTGTGAGGAGTCTGCTAATATTTCAGACACTGATTAATTGTCAATTATTGCCAGATTTTCTTTAATGGAGAGAGAACTTCATAGGAGAATTACTGCTTAATTCATTTTGAAGATGAAACCCTGGATAAATCATATTTAACGAGAGCGAAACGAAATCATTTTTGCCATAATGAAATTCATTGTGCTCAAAAGTCTCAGCATTAAAAATACTGTATACATAATAACTGACAGACACAAGTTTTGGTATTAAACTTTGGTTGGGAGGGGGGTGAAACTGTCATTTCTTACCACAGTGCACATTATGCATAATAGTGTCCACTATGGTAAACGGACAAATTTTTTTTTTTTTACGAACTGAAACCATAAACCTTGTAAATCTTTTGAGGAAAAACAAACACACACACGCACACATATACGAAAAAAAAGGGGGGGGGAAGCTTCGAGTAACTTTCCAAGGATTTAAAATCTTAATTTACAAATAACTTTCTGCCTAATAAATATGGTCAGATTAGGTTACCTGAATATGGGAAAACACACGAAAGTTAACTTCTTAGAGAGAGACAGAGATGCTTTTCTTGAAGACTTTCTAAGAGAAACTGGCTCATATTAATATTATATATGGGAAAAATCATGAAAACCCAACCACGCAGTCATCCCACTCATCTGGGTTTGAAGCAGCATGAACTACAAATACTCAATGGATTTTACCCACTTGGTAACTGGTGCAACTATACAAATATACAGTCAAATGCTAATAAAATAGTGAGAGGGGGAAAATGCTCACAGGATTTAAGGGAAAAATATTCCTCTTCCTTAAATTGTGTAATCAATCTACAGAAAGATTATCACTTTTTAAATATCTTACCAATGTTACATGAATTAACACTACATGGCCTGCACTTTTCAAAATGAGTCAGCTGTCAAGAGTTATATCTTGAGATATAACTCTTGACAGCTGATGAAAAGATTAAATTCTTCATTCACGTTTCATTGTAGTAATCTTGATTCCCATCTAGCAACCTTACAGAGTTAGCATAAAAAGAAAAAAATAGCTTTTGATAAAGTCTAAAGAATGAAAGAATTGACTACTTAAATAATTTCATTCAAGATCCATGAAACATAAAAAGAAAACTTTCTTTCTAATTCCTTTGCATTACAAATATTATGGCTAAACTCATTTTTGAGCTGTTTTTTGACTGGTTTTGTACTGAAAAAGTGAAGCTTTATGCTGTACCAAAAGTCCACAAAATTGGTATTCCTTTTCAAAGAATTTTTTCCAACATAGGTACAGCATCATATCCTTTGGCCAAATATTTAGTTTCCAGATTTTCTCCTTTAATTGCTAACAATATTCACACTGTAAATTCTTTGAAATTATAACTAAAATTTTCTCCACCATTCATTTTGTTTGATGTCAAATCACTGTTTACTAATGTTCCGGTCGAAGGAGCTCTAAAATGTCTTGAAACTAGGCTTCAGGAATTCCATTTCACACATACTGAAATTGATGAGTTGGTTTAGCTTAGCCTAAGTCAAACCCACTTTGTATTCCAAAATGAATATTATCGTCAAATTGAAGGATTAGCTATAGGTAATCCTCTCAGTGCTGTACTTGCTGACATTTATATGCACTATTTTGAGGTAAAATTATTTGATAAACTATCTTTTCGTCTCTGGATTCGGTATGTAGATGACACTTTTGCATTTTTTGATGGTAATAAAGAAGATTTATCCGATATTTTATCTATTATAAATTCAATTGATCTAGCCATCCAATTCACTCTTGAAATTGAATCCAACAATTCCCTCCCCTTCCTTGATATTCTTATAATACACAATGAAATTGATTTTAGTGCTACTGTGTACCGTAAACCCTTTGTAGTTTGTTTACCACCCCATGCTAAGTCATGCAACCCTGTTAAGCAAAAAATACCGGAGGGTATAAAAAGCTGTTACAGAGTTTGCTTTCCCTTTCTAGTAATTCCATTTTCCTGATGAGGAGGGACCTGTAGCTGCCCTCGAAACTGATTGAGTGCTTTAATAAATGTACGTGAAATACAAGCTTGTTATTGCGATTTTGATTGAAGCTGAAGGTTGAAATGTGCCATTCCACATTAAATCCATGTCAGAATGAATGGCATAGAATTGTAATTTTCATTTATTTCAAGTTTCCTAAAGCATACTATGTCTCTGCCAGTGATTTTCATTTGTTTGCAAAAGACAAAAATTAATTAAAAAAAGTAGCTCAATTTTATTAGCTCATTCCTGCATCCCCCCTTTTTTAATTTTCAGAACTTTTAGTACCTTAGATAATTGTAAAACTCATGCTAAGTGGTACTCAGGAAAATTTAATTCAGAAGAGGTGGTCTACAGCATGTTCAAGTATTGTTGAAACCACTGTGCATGCGCGGTTAATATTCGAGTATATAAAGTGGCTATGTGTTGCCTTTCTAAACATAGCGTATTAGCAACATAATGGGAAAAATCAGCTGATTTATCAGACTTTCATAAAGGTGAAATCGTTATGGCTCGGTGACTGGGAATATCAATATCAAAAATGGGCTTTTGGGGGCTGTTCATATGCAGTTGTTGTGAGCACATGTCGGAAGTTGTCTATGGATGGTGAAACAAGTTGCCGGCCAGCAGTGTGTCGCCGACGTTGCATTGATTCAAAGGACAGCAGAGATTGCTGCGCATGGTTCGCCATGAAGAAAGAGCTACAACAGCCGAAATCACCACCAGCTACAACAGTTGCGACCCAGATAGTGTTTCTCAACACATTGTGCAGCGTACATTGGGCTGTAATATTTCATTATTTAACAAATAATTATATTTATTATACTTGATATTGGAGTGGCAACGCCATGTTTGTATCGTGTAACCATTGTTAAGCATCGTCAGAAAATGTTTAAAAATTGTTATTCTAAAAGGCTTTATATGGTAAAATGACAAGTCGCCAGCAAGCAGTGTGTCGTCAATGGCACATTATTTCAAGAGGAGAGCAGAAGATTGCTATGCATTGTTCGCCGTGGCCGAAGAGCTATAACAGCCGAAATCACCACTAGCTACAACAGTGATGACCCAGACAGTGTTTCTCAATACACTGTGCAGCGTACATTGCTGCGCATTGGGCCTACACAGCCAGAGGCCAAAGCATGTCCCTGCACTGATGGCACGTTATTGGCAGCTGAGTCTGCAACGGGCCAAAAAAACATCGGAATTGGACATTAAAAGAATGGAAGAAAGTTGCATGGTCCGGTGAATCACGTTTTCTGATCCATCCCATTGATAAGCATGTGCTAATACATCAATTTCCAAATGAAATCCAGGCTCCTGGATGCACTGTTGGACGGAGACAAGCGGGTGGCGTGAGTATTTTGGTGTGGGCAATGTGTTCATGGAGCACATTATTACTCATAATGCCCATAGAACAATCCCTGATGTCTGTGTGTTACATGAACATCGTTGCAAACCAGGTTCACATTCATGGCAACAGTATTTCCAGTGGGAAATGGTGTTTACCAGCAGGATAACGCACCATGCCATAAGGGTCGAATAGTCAGGGAAAAGCTCGAGGAAGATTACTGTGGCTTTCAAGTCATGTCTTGAAATCCAAATTCACCTGACACTAATCCAATAGAGCATTTGTGGTCCCACCTGGAAAATCAAATTCATGCTGCCACACTTGCCCCTCACAATGTGCTGGAATTGCAGGACTAGTTAGTTGGTGAGGGCTTGGTACTGGATACCTCAGAGTACCTATGAGCATCTTGTGGAATCAATGCCGTACTGGGTGCTGGCAGTTTTGAGGGCTAAAGGTGGTCCTACATGTTAAACCAGGGTGGTCATAATGTAATGGCCTTTTGGTGTAGTTTAATGGACTTTTACTATATAAAGTATGTAGCAATTATTCTGATTTTTTTGTTGTTAATATTAATGGAAAATGACTAATTTCTTGTTTCAAGTTTATAAAAAAGACAAGGCTAAACCTTCATAGCATAACAAACCTTTTTTTTTTACAGATAACACTTAATGGTTTGGTTTATTAGATTACGGCAAAACACTCGAGGGCTATCTGCATTAAGGGAGGGATGCCTTCGTGGAGGACTTTTTAAGGGGAACTGGCTTATATACACGTTACACATCGATAACACTTAATAAATATATAACCACTGACTATCTTAACAAATGATATCACTAAATAGAATTTTCTCAAAATTCACCCATTTAAAAGAATAAAGAAAATATATTTAATCAAAGCAACTTCTAATAAGTTTTATCTTACTTTATTGGAGCAAATTAAAATTGTCGCTTGTAGAAGTTGTTTCATAGGCACAAGTTAAATAAAAAAAAAAAAAAAAAAAAAAAAACCTCACCTGAAGATAATTGACTATATCTTCTAAATTCTTTGAATACTCATGTATGGGCACATGCTGGTTAGTATCTGAGTCTTTATCAGATGAATCATTGGCACCAAGACATATTACAAATGCTTCAATATCTGAAATATTTTCAGCAGAAAACAGCCGAGGAAGAATAATGTTACATGTTCTGCTTGTATAACCAGAGAAACCTCGTCCAATAACATCACAGACCCTGTAATAAAATATCAACTATATATTACTTGAATAATAAAATAAAGGCACACTTGTTCAATTCTTCTCGTAATCAAAATAAATCAGCTGAAAATAAATTCATCTAATCTTAACTTCCACAGTCTAAATATTCGTAAAATCAAAATTACTTTAGTTTACATAAACAGACAAACAGAACTTTTTGCATATCTATTATACTTTAATATACGGACAAATAGTGTTGTAAAAAAAAATTGTGCATGGGTATGAACATGCACAATTTAGTGATTAAAAACTGTAATTTTTTCAATATGAGAAACTGAGAATTATCTGGGCACTGACTACAGCTTGGTACAAGTACATTTGACTGAATGTTTGGCCATGTTGCGTATTGTAGCAAAATTTGAAACATAGCTTCTGCTATATAAATAGCACGTGAACAATGTTTACACATTAAGTACAAATATCTAGATGTTTTATGATTTTTTGAATTATGTATGCCATAAGTACATGGGCTTGCCGGAAAGAGGAGCTGGTTAGACTTTGTATGAAAGTGGACACAATGCACAGAGCTTGGTTACTATTGCTTAGGAGATGTTTCAGAATGAACTCTACTGAAGTTGTTTGTATCCTGGCTGGTGTGCCCCCTCTCTACAAACTATTTGTTTTTTATGATAAATTTCATTTAAGAACAGGAAATATTGATTTTAAGTTTTATGGAGATTCTATTGTAACCCGATGTACTTTTGAAAAAATTGATTTAAATCTGATTCACCCTACTGAAAGAATTTTTATTCCATATTATTTGGATGCTCCACAAGTAGGAGATATTGACATTTATACAGACGGGTCAAGTATGGGGGATGCCCCTGCTTTCGCAAATGTTATATATTATTATGGAACAGTGATCGAGAACAATAAATTTAAATTTAATGTTTATATAGCTTACCAAGCAGAAGCTATGGCTATTATTTATTCATTGAAATGAATTAAAAGGCAATATGATATACATATTTACTCTGATAGTCCATCAGTTCTTCAAGCTCTCTCACGATCTGAACAAGATAGTCTTCTAATAGTAGATATTAAAGAATTATATAAAGAAATGAGAGAAGACCAAAATTTTGTGTTTAATTGGTTGAAGGCATACATTGGACATTTTGGAAATGAGAGGGTGGGCACACTGGCCAAGCAGGCAATTACCAATGTTAATGCTCATGATACTGATGTACAGGGATCAACAAGGAAAGCTGTGACTATTATGAACACTTGTATTTATGATGAATGGAGGGAGGAATGGGACAAGTCTAATAGAAATAAAGGTTATATGACATCAACGTTAATCAAACCATTACAGGTCATGGCTGTTTTCCTTTCTATTTTTTAAAAGGTTTAAATTACAAGAGTCTGACCTTTGTGATATCTGTAAAGAACTGGGCACTGCGGAACATTATGTAGAAACAAGTAAATATTTTACTGATATTAGGAATGAGTTTAAGAATAGTGATGTTTTTAATATATATGACATTTTAAATGATTTTAAAAGACAAAAAACTTGTCAGGAAAATAATGGAGAGAATTAATCATGATAAGCTTGCAGCGGGGATTTTAATTTTGTTTCTTTTTGTCTGGGTGTGGGTGTGTGTTGAGTGATTTAATTACATGCAACTTCTCTCTCTTTGCCCCTTTTTTTGAGTTGGTTTATAATCCGTTATTTTTAGTCTTGTTTTTTGTTTTATTTTCTCTTTCCTGTTGTGCTGTTAATTCAGCAAATAAGAAAACGATTATTATAGTATATACTGCCGATTACATTTGTATTGCTTTCCTTGGTTTCTTTTTAATAACCATCTTCATATCTTTTGCTTTGTTGGAACTTTTTCTGTTTCTGGCTTGCTCTGGCACAGCCCGGAAAAAGGCCACAGGGCTATGTAAAGTATGACAAGAGGGTCGGGCTACGCCCCTCGTATCATATCACATCTAGATGTTTTGTATTGCCTCATACCTAAAATTTTTCTAGACAGTCCATGTTGGTCTACATAACAGCCTTAAAGCATATTGAGGCATATTAAGGATGTATTTAAAATGTGTTAGTTTTATACAGATCAAAATTCTAAATAATACAAACAATTCAATAACCACTGATAAGTCTTAAAAATATGCCATGGACATACTTTTGACTCACTGTGGTGGTCATCTATTCTCCATGCCTGACAGAAAATCAGTTGCCCAATTTTTTTTAGTACTGTAAATGACTTTTTAAAAATTTCAATAGTTTTATCTTATATAAAAATGCTCTCATCTCTTGAAAGCAAACATGGGTATATCCCCATGGATCCTGCATGAGTGCAGACCTTTGGAACATTGCTGTCAACGAAATACGTAGCGTATTCGGAAACTAAGTACCGTTTCATTCTAGCACCGTCGCAGCGCTGTGGTAGGCGTCCCCCCGCATGCGCACTAGTCTTTCTTGTTCACTGACTTTTAATTGTTGCCACTTTGGTTTCTCTATGTTGTGTTTTCAGTTTGCTGTGCACATTCAAAATGTTTAAGACAATTAGTTCTCCCGCTGACTGTGAAATTCGTGCCGTGATTAAATTTTTAAACGCGAGGAATGTTAAACCGGCCAAAATTTATCGTCAAGTGACAGAAGTTTACGGTGAATACGCGATAAGTGATGGAATGGTGAGAAAGTGGGTAAGAATGTTTAATGCAGGTCGAACAAATGTCCACGCCGAGGCTCGGAGTGGTCGGCCTTCTGTTGTCACCGATGATTTGGTAAGGAAAGTTGATGAAGCAATTCATGAGAACAGACGCTTCACAATGACAACTCTTTCAGAGGCATTTCCACAAATTTCACGTACTGTTTTGTTCGAAATTGTGTCTGACCGCTTGAATTATCGCAAACTGTGTTCCCGATGGGTTCCAAAAATGCTCACTGATGTTCACAAAACAAAGCGACTTGGTAGTGCCCTGACATTTCTCACGCGGTACAGTGATGAGGGAGAAAACTTTTTAAACCAAATTGTGACAGGTGATGAAACTTGGGTGTGTCATTTCACACCAGAATCGAAACAACAATCGATGGAGTGGAGACACACTCATTCTCCGAAAAAACAAAAGTTCAAAGTGACAATGTCATCACAAAAAATCATGTGCACTGTCTTCTGGGATAGGAAAGGCGTTTTGCTTACTGAATTTCTTCCCAGAGGTGAAACCATTAATGCGGCACGATATTGTGAGACTTTAACAAAACTAAGGCGTGCCATTCAAAACAAACGAAGAGGAATGCTCAGTAAAGGAATTGTGTTGCTCCATGGCAATGCTCGGCCCCATACTGTTGGTGTGTCGTTAATTCGACAGTTTCATTGGGAGCAGTTCGATCACCCGCCGTACAGCCCGGACTTGGCGCCATCCGACTATCACTTGTTCCTGCACATGAAGCGCGAGCTTGGTGGCAAGCGCTTTGGATCTGACGATGACACGAAAAATGCTGTGGAGTTGTGGTTATCGAAACTGGCGGGAAGTTTCTTTGACGATGGTATACAAAAACTGGTCACCCCTATGACAAGTGTTTGATCATTGGCGGAAACTATGTTGGAAAATAGTTTAAGACATGTATTTTCATGTAAAAATAAAATTGGATTCGAAAAAATTGTTTTACTATTTTTTTTTTTCAAAACGGTACTTAGTTTCCGAATACGCCTCGTAATGAATCAAAATTGACCGTTCCACTCAAAAATCAGTGCATTTGTTGATGATATTTCATTTATTGTGAACAGCCGCTCAATTGCGATACTCCAAGAAAACTGCAGAACCAAAAGTGAAATATATTCAAAAATGTACATAAAAAGTACAAACTAAAAATCTCTCTACTAAAGTTATAGGTCATGGGAATACATACACCAGACCAGACTATTACAAAACAACTCTCTCTCAAAATTGAAGATGGAAGAATTAAAAACATAAAAATGATAAAATATCTAGAACTCCACACTAAGCAAAAGCAAAATTTTATCCACTATCTCAAAGAGATCAAAGCATATATTTACCAAACAGGACTCAATCGAAGATGAATGCATGGATACAACTGGGGTCTGAGCCCCCATATTACCAAAATTTTATATAACATAGTAATAACCAAAATAGTGACTTATGGCATTGCCATTTGGGCCATACTTGTGACTGAATGCAAAAAGAGAATTTTAACGTCAATTCAAAGACAGTTTATTTTATGAAAAACATAAAGATCTTCTACAATGAAGTTGTATTCAATATCCTAGTCAGAACAACCCCTCTACACCTACAAAAATAGAGGAAGTTATTCATACAATAGTTATGCAATTAAAACAGAATATTTGCTTTGATGACCACCTTTATAAAACTGAAGAATATGAATGGCATCCCCTCCCTACAACACGCATCCTGCTGTTCTGCAGACAAGGATAAAATTTCAACAAGACACAGCACATGTCATCAATAACAAAACCACAACATTTACACATAGCTCCAAAAAGATGGAAAAGTTAGATACAGAAGTCTACAGCCCTATGTAAAAAAACCTCAATAATTGTATAAAATGGCAAGGATACCTAAAAAACAATTACAGTATTCATAAGGCAGAACTTTCAGCAATAACAGCAGCAGTGAAAACAGCAAATGACCAGATAATCCCCTATATCAAAATTAAATTGGGCAGCCAGACGGCAATATTATCACTCTGTAACCTGGTTAAAAACTCTAAAAATTGCACTCAAAACTATTTTATACTCAGAAAACATGCAAAATGCAAAAATTACACTTGCGTGGATAAAAGACCACAGTGTAAACTCAGGTAATGATGCTGCAAAGGAGGCAGTATAAAAGGAAATGGAACTCATTGATATGCCATTTCCCAAGACCCACCTGAGGAATATACTAAATGTGCACACACAAACTTTTGGGCAACAGAAGTGGAATGAAGAGATAACAGGTTTGCATACATGAGTTCTTTGTAAAAGTAGATAACAAAACCAGAAGTACACA